AATAAGCTAAAGAGAGTTTGAAAATGAGTATATGACAATCTAATAGAATCTACCCCCCTTAATAGAACTATTCCAAATTATTGTAACTTAACAAATATTCGTAATTCTTTTTACTCAAAATGGGGCCTTAACATAATAATTTCAATTGAACTTTAAAATTAAATTTATAAGTTTCAGAGATAAGCAATTAATTCAGCCAAATTAAGAAAAGATTATAGATTTAATACTAGACAATTGAGACAAAAGTTCCTATCGCATAATGATAGATGCTTGAGAGCTCTTTAAAAAGTGGATCTAATAATATCTTTTATGGACTATTCCAAATATTCCCATACATTCTTGATAATGTATAATTAAATTAGGATTATTGATGTTTTGGTTAATGTCGTTTTCATGTTCTTTTTTAATAATGGCATATAATTTGAATGATTTAAATTGTGGTATTTCTTATAGAATTGAATTCCATAAAAAAAAAGAGATTCAATTATTATTTGAAAATTTAAACAGTAACCAAATTGTAATGCCCTGTTTCATTTCAATTTTTTAATTCTAATTTTGAGATATTCAATTTTTTATACACAGGAAAGGACCCTCTTTAATTATAGATATTAATAGATTTTACTTTAACTAAGTTTAGAGAAAAAGTTTTTAAGATAGTTACTAATTAATAGGAATTTATCTAATCAATGATAATAGGTATAAAATTATTGATCAATGAAAATAGAATGGAGAAAAATAAAAAATAATAAATTATGAAAATTCCATATTTAAGCTATTAATAAATTTAGTTATGGTGGAAAAAAAATGGTTGTCATGAAATATTTTTTTTTTTTTTCCTCATCAAATATTGTGTAAATTGTATTTTTCTGAATTTTATACTTTTATAATATTTGTGACTTATATATAAAATAATTCAAGAGGAAAATTCAAAATAATTAATAATAGAGGATGTTGTTGTTCAAGTGATAGCTTTTTTTGATTTTAAGTTTATTGCAATTTAAGTAACTTTACATTGTTCAAAATAAAAATGAATAGCTTCAACTAAAAACGAAGAAATCCTTTTTATTAAATAATAATTTATGGATGCTTTTATTTAAAAATAAGTTTATAATTAATATATAATATTTTGAAGTTAACTTTAGGCAATTGAGTTAAGAATTCAATCATCGTTTTCTTGGTACTAACGGATAGTATAGTAATAAAATAGCTTAGGTGAAAGTAAAATATTATCGAAAATTTTTTCTTTCTAAGGTCATCATCAAAATATCTTAATTAATAGTTGATATTCAACTATAAAAAGAAAGATTAGTGAAACAGATATTAATATTATTTATATTTTAATAATTCTTATGAATTATTTAGAAGTTAGAAAGGCAAATTCTAAATTAATTGATAAACCGTTTCAAGAATAGAATAATAGAAACTTGATTATAACAGAATAGATCTAATCGGTAACAAATATAACCTTATTCGAAATTTCAAATTATTAGATCGATTATCATAATTTGGTTTCTTCTATTCAATTAAGAGGTGGTGGATGCTTGAAATCAACACCAACTCGTTCTGATTTAATTTCTAATTTGCAATAAATTGATAATAGATTTCTAACCTAATTACCAACATTTGCAAACGTAATTTCTGAAAAATCTTTAAGTTTTTAAGATAAATTGTATCAGGATGAAGTACTTCTTGCATTTTAGTGGTTTTAAAACAATAAAGAATAATTTTATATTCTTTGTAATAATTAATCTGAAAATACAAAAAACTATTAATTGATCGAAAAAATAACAGAATAATTAATGAGATCATTAACAATTTATATCAAGTTGTCAGGCTTTCTTTTTAAATAGTTATTATAAATTTGTAATGACTTCTGGAGAATAATATTTTCTCATTAATTACAGAATGAAGATAGATACATGTAGGATGAAATTTAAAAGAATTTTTTAGAAATTATTGAAGAGGTTGACTCTCAAATGTAAGTAGAAGCAGTTAATATTTGGATGAACGGAGCTAAGTTTGAGCTTTAATTGATAAAAATTTGCGTATCTCATTGTAGGACTAATTCCCAAAAAGGATAGGAATTAGTTATATCTATTGTTAGTGGACTATTTTCATCGATATCTTAACTAAGACCTAGTGAAGAGCTAATAGATTCGTTAATTGAAGGAGGAAAATTTCTGCTCTTGAATTTCTACCATAAGTGAATATAAAATCCTCTTCAGGTTTATGAAATTTATTTTTATTTCGAAAATCATAAATGGTCTATTGTAATTCAATTGAAATTGGGTTATTCTATTCAGAATATTATGAAACAGATTCAAGATGGATATTCAAAATACATTAAACAATCTAAGGATTGGAGAATTCATTATTTTTGGGTCAATTTGATATCAGATATTATGTGTTATAGACCAATTTTTCTTAAGACTGAAATGAAATAATTATCATAATCATAAACTGTTGATGAAGAAACCTGGAATTAATTAGTAATCAAGTTGCCTTATAATAAGTTTGCTGGTAAACTCAAATTATTTTCTAACAATAATTTTACATTGAAAAAGTATGCAACTTTAAAATTGTTTTAAGAGTACTTGATTCAAAAAAATTAGAGTGATATTTAACTTTTGCCCAATTATATTAATTTTAATTTCAATGCTCAAGAAAGGAAAAAATTTTAAGATGAAGATCTTTTTATTCAATCATTAACAAATCAATCGAACTTAGAAATTTTAAAAGCTTTAATGAAATAATTAAGGTATTAAAATGACCAAGCAACCAGTAATTTTGTTATTGCAAAAGAAAAAGTGAGTCAACATGATACATATTTGAGAGGTGAAAAGCATATTGAATTCAAAATCTTTAGCTAAGAACTACAATTCTTGATGAAACAAATTAAATAATCAAGTCTGCTATAATTATATTTAATTAACGAGATAAATTTACTTGTGAATAAGGAACTTTAAAATAATTTAATAATATAAACGATATTCTAAGAATAGTTTAAAATATTGGGATAAGACTCAAAAAAAATAAAGGAATAAACTTTAAAAGACATACAAGAAATTGAAAATAAATATGCATCTGAATTTTTGGGTAATTTATAGAATGTTTCTTAATTTTGGTCATAAATTGTTTAATATACAACTTTCTCACATATAGAATTAATTGAGGGGAATATTGAATTGGAAAAATCTCTTTAAATATAATTGGATTAGAATATTAAATATTTTACAAATATAAATAACTACCTAGATAAATTTCAATTATAGATCTCTAATGTTAAAACTAAATTCTTAAAGATTTTAGAATAGTAGAAACACAAGGATTTAATGAAAGAATCGATAAGTTAAAGACAATTACTTGATATTATGATAAAGTTGTTTAATCCTAAATTGACATTAAAATTGATAAATGAAAGCATTTAATATTATTAAAAATTGTTACAAGAGGAAATTTAAATTGAAAATGTGAAAGATGTTCGGAAAATTCTTATAGTCATTCAATCAAACATTAATATTTATAAGGGATTATAAATGCTTTTTAAATAGCACCACAAGAAATTATTATCAATATAAACATAATTATAAGGGGCGTTTGAAAAAATAAGTGTTGCTCACATTAAAACTTAATAAAATTGTGAAATTGATATTAAATACCATAGAACAGCATTCATCCTGGAGATGATGGATTAACTGCAGCTTTTGTTTCAAAAATACTAAAATTAAGAAC